GGTAGAATTTTCATTTTTGGGTGAACTATCCCTTTAAAACCCAAGTAAAAGTTCTAGAATTCTCTGAAATGTACAAAAATGAACAAGCCAGTGTTTTGCAAAGGTATTTTTTACACATCGCACAAATGATCTTACCTCCAGCCTGGATAGTGATAGAGTACAGGGTGGCAGATGAATCTAGACGGTAATGCTCACCACTGCGTACCACCACCTTTTTGAGGTCATGGCCTGGGTTCCAGGAGAGCAGCACAGGGTTGTGATGAGGGCAGTTCTCTACAAAAAGATGTAGGAGGACAAGATTTTTATTTTTCCCACCACAAAAGAATGAGCAACATTTATTTTTATTCATGTATTTTGATATTTGCTTTGCTAGACATAATATTTAGTAATAATAAAATGTTGTTTTCTTTCATTTTTATTCAAATTTTAAAAACATTTTTCATTAACAACATTTATTTTTCTTTACAGAAAGAAAATTTGCACTGAACTATAATATAATTGCATAAATTCATTTCGCAGGAAAACTATGACTTGCAATGCAAATTATTGACTGGTCTGTAGTTCCCAACACATTCTTACTGATACCATTCTTGAAATTTCAGCAAAACCTCATACATGTTAGCCAGCTTTATACAGCTTATAATGTTACAAACAAATTCTATTAATACAATTTTTAATTTCTATTCTCAAAAAAAAAACATGTATCATGGTTTCAACAAAAATATTAAGTAGCACAAATGTTTTCAACATTGATAATAATAAGAAATGTTTCTTTAGCACTAAATACACATATAAGAATTATTTTTTTGTAGGATCCTGTGATACTGAAGACTGGAGTAATGGCTGTTGAAAATTCAGCTTTGACATTGCAGGAATAAATTATACATTTCAATCAAAATATCTTAAAATAGAAAACAGTTATTTTAAATTGTAATAATATTTCACAATATACTGTTTTTACAGTATTTTTGATTAAACAAATGCAGCCTTGGTGAGCATAAGTGACTTCTTTAAAAAAAACATGAAAAAAGTCTCACTGGCCCTAAACTTTTTAACGATTTAACGACTTTTTAACTATTCCTCACATACTCAAGGTGATCGTGTCTTACCATCCAACACATCTTTAGAGGCAAGACTGAGGACGAGTATGAGAATCAGTAGGAAAACGCAGAAGAACACGCCAACACAAATATAAGTGTTCTTCCTCTGCTGGTTCTGGGCACGCTCCCTTCTGCTCTCATCTTCTGACAGATTAAAAACCGAAGGTCGTGCAGGGGGCGGGACCGGGGGCTTCAGTGGGGGCGGTGGAGGAGCCTTGACTGGGGGTGGAGAACGAACTGGAACAATCCTGCCTGGAACATATCCTGACGACCGCTGAGCATTTCCGTTAACAGGAGCCACAAAAATGGGGTGACTGCTGGGGCCATCATTCACCTGCATGGTATAACTGTCTGCCACGTCCTATGGGGGGGGGAGAGAGAAAACCATAAAAGATACACTAATATCATTCAAAAGTTTGGGGTCTGTAATATATTTTAATGTTTTTGAAAGATGCAAGGCTGCATTTATTTAATCAAAAATACAATACACTGTAATATTTTGAAATATTAATATAATTTAAAATAACTTTCTATTTTAATACATTCTAAGATAATTTATTCATTGAATGTCAAAGTTAACTTTTTGGCAGCCATCATTTCAGTCTTCACTGTCACATTATCCTTCAGAAATCATTCTACTATGCTGATATGCTGCTTAAGAAACATTTCTTATTATCAATGTGTAAAACAGTTGTGCAGCGTAATATTTTTGTGGAACACTATGATACTTTTTTTCAAGATTGATTGAAAAGAAGAGAATACATTTGAAATAGAAATCTTTTATAACATTTGATCAATTTAATACATCCTTGCTGAATAAAAAGTATTAACTCCTTTTCAATGATAGAGTATTGTTTTTGACTTCTTAAAGGGGTCATATGATGCGATTTCAAGTTTTCCTTTCTCTTTGGAGTCGTTGTTTTTCATTTCTCCGATCACAAATGCAGACATGGTTTTAAGTTTGCGCGGTGCGATGCAACGCAATGTGTAAAAAGACAGTATAAGTCATTATAATCCGTAATTATGTCCCCACTGGATGCAACAA